TGCCCAAGCTGATTTACATCCCTCTACCAAAACACCAGGCTGAATTAAAATCTTCTTTTACTTACCTGTTGATGCCATTGAACTTCAGGACACAACTGTCTCCATCTGTCTTCCCAGTGCGCAATGCCTAGCACATCGTAGTTTCTCAATAAAGTTTGGTTAGTGAATTAAAGATGGAGAGAGAAAGTTGAAGGCTCTCCCTAGCCAAGTGGTCCCTCTGTGAGCAGGAAGGGAAGAAAACAGAAGGGGGGGCGGTGAGAGGTTTGGAATGATGCCCATGCAGACAGTGAACTAGAGATAGAGAGAGCCCTGAGGAGCAGTTCAGACTGGGAGGAGAGAAAAAGGGTCATGTCTTTCCTCGACACCCGGGATCAGTCTCATGAAAATGCTGCATTTATTTGAAAGTAGGAGGATCAGAGCCTCGTCACAAGATCCAGTCACTGCTGTTACACGTCCTAGAGCCAGACAGGATCCCAGGGCCTCTGCCTACTCTCCTCATTCTTCCTGCAGGAAACAGACCCAGACAAGGCGCCTGCTGAAGCCACACAGCACGCTCTCTCCCGAAGTGCTCATGTCACCAGGTGTCTCCAAGCTTGCTAAGATATCATTGTTTATACTGTCCGCTAAAGGAGACACTTGGATAAACAGAGAGGTGTGTTCCCATACTAACGTCACAGCCACTGAGGTTGATGTATCCTTCTAATTTTTCAAGTGTCTTAGGAAATCCTTTCCTAGAAGATACCACCTTAGGCCAGGCACGGTGGCTCATGCCTGTCATCCCAGCACTTTGGGAAGCCAAGACAAGAGGATTGCTTGAGCCCAGGAGTTCGAGACCAGCCTGGGCAACAAAACAAGACTTTGTCTCTACAAAAAAAAAATTAAAAAGTAGCCAGGAATGATGGCACCGGTCTGTAGTCCCAGCTACTTGGGAGGCTGAGGTGGAAGGATCGCCTTATCCCAGGAGATTGAGGTTGTAGTGAGCTGTGATCAAGCCACTACACTCCAGCCTGGGCAACAGAGACCCTGATTGACAAAGAGCAAGAAAGAAAGAGAAAGAAAGAAAGAAAATACCACCTGGACTTTTCAGACGATCCAAGAGTTTCAGGTTTTACTTTCCACCGTTAATAATAACATTTACGGCCGGGCTCGGTGGCTCAGCCTATAATCCCGTTCTTTGGTGAGGCCACGGTGAGTGAATTGCCTGAAACTCGCGGGTTCAAGACCTGCCTGGGCAACTTGGTGAGACCTCATCTCTACAATAAATCTAAAAAAAAATAGCCGGGCATGGTAGTGCACGCCTGTAGTTCTGGCTACTTGGAAGGCTGAAGCGAAAGGATCGCCGGAGCCCAGCAAGTCAAGGTTGTGGTGGCTGGGAGCAGCCACTGCACTCCAGTCTGGGCGACAGAGTGAGACTCCAACTCAGAAATAATAGTAATAACATTTACTCTTTCATAAAAGTTTTTATTTTGTGTCATTTTGTAAAAATGAAAAAATTAATTAGGAGTGTGGCTGTTCAAGACTTCTTAAGTAACTTTCAGCTCCTTTCATGCTTGTAAAGTAAATTAATGGGATTTCATATAATTTACTACACAAAGGGAAACCAAAACTGGAATTTATTTACAAAAAAGTGGGTATGTATTCTTAACATGTTTAAACTTCAGTCACCTTCAAAGTACTCTCCATTGGATACAGTGCACCTGTTGAGACGCCTTTTCCCCCTACTCAGAACAGTTTTTGAACTCATTACTTTTGTTGCCTTTCAATGCTTCTGCCAATTTTTTGTTTTACCTCTTTCACATCAGCAAAACATTTCCCTTTGAGAAGCTTTTTCACCTGGGAAAACAAAAAAAAAGTTGCTTGGGGCAAGATCAGGTGAATAGGGAAGGTGGGACATGGGGGTCATGTCGTTTTTGGTCAAAAACTGCTGAACACTCAGCTCAGTGTGGGCAGGTACACTCATAAATCACCCATCATGAAATGCGCAAATGCGTTGAAAGATTTTCCAAAAAAATTCACTGAAGTTGAACATAGCTTCTCACAACAATGTTAGCTGGTACACCAATGCCAGTGGGTTCCTAGAACATTTACCTAGTCGGGGGAAGCCTGCACTGCAAGGGCCACGCCCTCCAAAAGATAATTCCGGGTTTTTTGGAGTTCCCCTCATATTTACGGTTTTCTGGATGATTGGTATATCTTGAAAATTTTTCCCCAAAGAATGAGCCTTATAAGAACCAGGTTTTGGAGTTATTAGCAGTTACTTGTCTTTTAGAAAGAGGTCCGTGAACAATAATGAATAAAAATGTTTATCTTAAAAAATAAGGTAAAAGACTGCTTGGGTATTCAGAGAACAAAAGCTGAATATCTGTAACTCATTAACATTTTATTTGTAGTTTCAGTGACCAGTGGTCACTGAAGAGATGTTTGATTATATAGTGCTTCCCAGCCTTGAAACCATATATAAGATGTGACTGTAACAAAAAGATGATATAGTATAACCTGTGTTGCACACTTATATGTATATACATGTACTATGTGTGTAGTCATATGATTGTAATGTCTTTTGGATTCCTATAAATACTTCATGCATGCTTGCCTCTTACCATGCATTAGGAATCACCCAGTAGTTCTAGTAAACTATTTTCCCTTAATAAACTAATGAGAACATTGGTAAATTTAGGTGGGGATTAATATAATTTCCTACAAAGTAAATGCTGGCAATTTATTTTTAGGAAGCAGTGGCAAAAGTGCTTAGACTGGTGCTTCTTAGTGCTAAACCAAAGATCATAATTCAAAGAGGAAGGTAAGGTAAGTTCTAATGCAAGTCTGCTCAGTTACCAGCTAATAATTCCGATGATGACAAAAATACGAGTTGAAAATACTCTTGACTGTACCCTCAGAAAGGAAAACCTCTATATGTAACAGTATAAAATCCTGGCCAGGCTCAGTGGTTCAGCCTGTAATCCCAGCACCTTGGGAGGCCGAGGTGCATGGGTTGCCTGAGCCGGCGGATTCAAGACCAGCCCGGGCAACTTGGTGAGATCTTGTTTCTACACTAAATCAAAAATTAGCTGGGTGTGGTAGCCCATGCCTGTAGTTCTGGCTACTTGGAAGGATTGCTAGAGCCCAGCAGGTTGACACTGGGTGGCCATGAGCGTGCCACTACACTCCATCCTGGGTGACAGAGTGAGACTCCAACTCAAAAAAAAAAAAAAAAGTGTAAAATCCTGAATGGGACTAATAGACATCAAGTTCAAGATAGTGGCCACCTCTTCAAAGGGAAGGAAATAAAACTGAGGAAAGGGAGAGACACGGAGACAGTCATTGTCTCCATAACATTTTAACTGGGAGAGGCCTAAAGGTGTTCTTATTGTATTCTTCATATTTTTTTGATATACACAAAACATTTCCTTAATTAAAAAAAAAGTAATATCTACTTTAAGATATCTTTAATAAGACTAAGAACAGTGGCCATCACTCAAGCTTTGCCTGGGACAGTAGATGGTATGGCCTAAACCAAACTTGGAAGCATTTGCTAGTAAGGGAGCAGACAAGGAAAGAGAGTTTTATCTTTAGGCTCTTTTTTTTTTTTTTTAATTAAAGATTAGGTTTATTTTAACCTTTTTTATCATAAGTAAAACTGAGACACAAAAGCCACATCTAATAAATGTATGGCTTTGTGAAGTATTACAAGGGGCTCCCCCCAACAGTAACTGCCTCCTGAGCCAAAGAAAACAGAACTCCACAGTCACCCCAAAAGTTCTCCCATGCACCCTGTCCCATCACTGCTGCCTGCCCCCAAAGACTCCCGCAATGCCCAGCTTTTCCAGCAGACACTCCTCTGTATCCTTATCACCTCTGCCTCCACGTACCCATCCTCAGACCATCCCAATCCCACCTATGTTTAAAGGTGATATATGAGGGGGACCCCAAAAAACCAGAATTTATTTATTAAAAATTGTGTATTTTTCCATGGAAAAGTGGGTAGGATTTTTTTAACTGTGTATTGATTCTTACATGCTTAAACTTCAGTCACCTTCAAAGTCCTCTCCATTTGATGCAATACACCTATCGAGACGCTTTAACCACTGCCCCAAAATTGCTGAACTCTTCAATTTTTATGCCCTTCAGTGCTTCTGCCATTTTTTGTTTCACCTCTTCCACGTGGGCAAAACGTTTCCCTTTGAGGACTTTTTTCATCCAGGGAAACAAAAAAAGTCTCTTGGGGTGAGATTGGGTGAATAGGGAGGGTGGGTCACAGGGGTCATACCTTTTTTGGTGAAAAACTGCTGAACACTCAGCGCGGTGTTGGCAGGTGCACTCATAAATCACCTATCATGAAAGGGCAAACACATTGAATCTTCAAAAAAAAATTCACTGAATTAGCCTCTCGTAACAATGCTTGCTGGTTCGCTGATGCTGATGGGTCTCTAGAACGCTTAGCAAGCAGGAGAATCCTGGACTATAAAGGGCCTGCCCTCCAAACAAAAATTCCAGGTCTGGGGGGTTCTCCCTCGTATTTTAAGTCTCTTTAAATCTACATACCTTCCCCCATCCCTTTTCTTTCCTTGCAGTTCATTGTTGAACCTATAGAGTTTCCCACAGTCTAGCTTTGCTGATAGGTACTCAAACGCAGCTCTGGTGTTCCAGGAGCCTGAGTCCAGAGGCCAATCCCTTGGGCAAGACCACATGAGGTGTTTCTCCATCAGATGGTACATAATGCTGGTGTCTTCTGTTGAGATATTGGCAGTCATCAATACTCATTGCTAGGCTGTGGGGCCACTCATTTACTGGGATTGCAAAATGGTGATCTTCTAGCTTTGCTTTCACCAAAAAATTAGTTGAAATGATTTCAAAAAAGAGACTTTTCCTTATTTGCTGTTTGCTTGTCTATATGGTACACTCTGACTTGAATCTTTGTGGAAGACCTTTTCTCTGAACTCCAGACTTAGATATCCACTGCTTGCTCTGCTTTGCCTGGATGTCTAGTTAAAGCATCTCAAATGCGTGTCCGAAGCCACGCCTCCCACCACAGTCTCCATGCCCTTGGGCCCAACTCCTGTCCTATCCTAGACCTTGAATGCTTTTATATCCAGCCCCACTCCATCAGCGACTCCCAGCGACTGTCCATTCTAAAGGTAACCAAGCCATTTTCCTCTCTCGCCTTGGTACTCAATACAAAGTCATTTTTCCATTTTGTTTTTGATTTTTAATGGTTACTCTTTTTTAAAGTTTTATTTCATAACATTTTTTAATTATGCAAAACATTTATATGGTTCTCTTGGCATTGGGCTCACAGCCTTCATCCCAGCACATTGAGAAGCCAAGACAAGAGGATTGCATGAGCCCAGGAGTTCAAGATGAGCCTGGGCAACTTAGTGTCACCCTGTCTCTATAAAAAAATAAGAAATTAGCCAGACATGGTGGCACACGCCTGTAGTCCCAGCTACTCAAAAGGCTGACATGGAAGGATTGCCTGAGCCCAGGAGGTTGAGGCTGCTGTGAGCTGGGATTGTGCCACTGCACTCCAGCCTGAGCAACCGAGTGAGAGCCCAACTCAAAAAAAAAAAAAAAAAAGAATGCGGCATAGAGTACATACAGTATTGCAAATTTATGTGAGGGTGAGTGTATACACCCCAAGACACACAGTGGATTCTGGAAACCACAGATCGCACCAAGCCCTGTAGTATATACTAGGATTTTTCATATAGGTACAGACATATGCTAAAGTTTAATTTATAATTCAGGCACAGTAAGAGATTAACAACAATAACTAATAATAAAATAGAGCATTTATAACAACTTACTGTGATAGTAGTGATGTGAATGTGCGCACTCTCCCTCCCTCTTCCCCCTTTCCCTCCCTCCCTTTATCCCTCTCTCCCTCTCCCTCGCCCACCTGCTTCTTGCTCCCTCTCTCTCTTTCTCCCTCTCCATGTCTCTTCTCTGTTTCCCTCTCTCCCCTCTCTCTTGCTTGCCCTCTCTGTCCCTCTCTGTCCTCTATCTTTCCCTCTCTCCTTCTGTCTCCCTCTTTCTCCCTTTCTCTCCCTCTCTCTCCCTCCTCCTTCCTCCCTTTCTCCCCCTCCCCCTTTCTTCTCCCTCTCCCTCTTTCCCTCTCTCCCCTCCCTCTGTCCACCTCCCCTCCCTCTCTTCCCTTTTCTCTCTCCACTTCTCTCTCCCTCTCCTTCCCTCTCTCCCTCTTCCCCTGTCTCCCTCTCTTCCTCCCTCTCTATCCCTCTCTCTCCCTCACCCTCTCTCTCTTTCTCTCTCCACTCCCCTCTCCCTCTCCCTCCCTCTTTCCCTCTTCCTCTCTATCCCTCTCTCCCTCCCTATCTCTCTCTTGCTCCCTCTCTCTCCTTCCCTCTCTATCTCTCTCCCTCTTTTCCTCCCTCCCTTCCTCTCTCCCTCTCTCTCCCTATTCCCCCTCCCTCTAGCTCTCTGTCACTCATCTTCTTTCCTTTCCATCCCTCTCCCTCTCTCCCTCTCCCTGTCTCTCCCTCTCTCTGCCTCTCTATCCCTTTCTCTCCTTCTCCCTCTGCCTCTGCCTCTGCCTCTCCCTCTCCCTCCCTCTTCCTCTCCCTGACTCTTCCTCTCCCTCTCTTGCTTCTCCCCTTCTCTCTTCCTCCCTCCCTCCCTCTTTCCCTCATCCTCTCTCTCCCTCCCTCTCTATCCCCCTCTTTCTTCCTCTCCCTCCCTCTCTCTCTCTCCCTCTCTCTGTCAATGCCCTATTGTACTGTACTCACCGATCTTGGGACTATAGTCAAGTCCCAGTAACTGAACCGCAGAAAGCTAAGCTGGGAGTCGAGGGGTTGCTCTCTTGCACTTGTATCTGCTCTTCCCTGGGGGAACATGGGAGACTGAGGATGGGATGCCTCTGGCACACTCTCGCCACCTGACTTTTTATCAGTTAACAGCATATCCCATGTCCTGGATATCAGGTATTCAAGTTGCTTTTAACATTGAAGATGGTTTCAGAATTCTACTCACTAATAACATCCTAAACTTAAATTTTAAATATCTGTCCTTTTCACATCCAGTATGAATTTACTTCAAATCACATATGTAACTTTCTGATAAGTGGTAGAACTAACCACTCTTTTTCAGCAAAGACTCCTTCAAAGTGTATTTACTTACTTACTTACTTACTTAGAGTCGGGTTCTCACTTTGTCACCCAGGCTGGAGTGCAGTGGCACAATCCCGGCTCACTGAAGCCTTGACCTCCTGGGCTTAAGCAATCCTTCTACCTCAGCCTCCTGAGTAGCTGGGACTGCAGGCATGCATCACCATGCCTGGCTAATTTTTTTTTTTTTTTTTTTTTTGTAGAGACAGGGTCTCACTAAGTTGCTCAGGCGGGTTTTGAACTCCGGAGCTCACATAGTTCTCCCGCCTTGACCTCCCAAAGTGCTGGGATTACAGGTGTGAGTCACAATGCCTGGCCAAACTCGTCGAGATTTAGAAATAAAAACACTGTCCATCCAGGCACAGTGGCTCACACTTGCAATCCCAGCACTTTGGGAGTCCAAGGCAAGAGGATTGCTTAAGCCCAGGAGATCAAGACCAGCCTGGGCAACATAGCAAGCCCTCGTCTCTAAAAAAAAGAAAGAAAAAAAGAAAGAAAAGAAAAGAAAACAATTTCCAGGTGATTATGATATCGATCAATATCATCATTAAAAATATTTGTAGCATATGTATTCATGATATGATATGAATGATTTATGCTGGAAAAGCATAATACGTTAAATTTTCTGCCTCTGGAACTATCTTTTCTACCTTTTTCTAAGATTTGTCATTCTGATATATATTCAGTTTAGCATTTAACCAGGTCTGTTGCCTGGGAACCATTTAGAGATAGTATGTCCAAGAAGGCTACATGATAGTTTAGGCTCCAAGTAACTGTTTGTGTTACCACATCCCTGCATTTCCCGGCCTCCTGGACAGTCATGATGGAAGAATTTCCCCAGCGTCTTCCTGCCTCGTGAGCTAGACTCTGAGAAGGTCAGAAGGTCCAGATTGTGGGGTGGCCAGAACAAAACACCTTCACGCATGACAGGAAGTGTCATCCCCTCCCCACTCACTCCCCTGTTCTCCAGAATATTTGGTATTGACAGCTTGTCACATGTAAATTTGAATCTACCATAATAGAAGGCCAAGAAATGCCAGAATTAAATATGTCTGCCTAAGATATAAGGATAGCAAATCGGTGGCTCAGCTGTAATCCCAGCGCTTTGGGAGGCAGAGGTGAGAGAACCAGCCTGAACAGCTTGGTGAGACCTCATCTCTACAATAAATCAAAAAATTAGCTGGGCTTGGTGGCACGTGCCTGTAGTTCCAGCTACTTGGAAGGCTGAAGTGGAAGGATCGCCTGAGTCCAGCAGGTCGAGGCTGCAGTGGCCAGGAGCATGCCACTGCACTCCAGTTGGGGCAACAGAGTGAGACTCCAACTTAAAAAAAAAAAAAGGATAGCAGAAATCAGTGAACATAGCATGTTCTATTGGTCAGAATCTTGATTCAGTCTTGGAATATGAGTGACTTTTATCAAAACCATTTATATATATACATATATATCCAAATTATTAGTTTTCTCTTTTTAATGTAATTCATTTTTATTGATGCCATTTTATTTATTTTTAACTTTTTTTTTAGAGATGATGTGTCTCGCTATGTTGCCCAGGCTGATCTCAAACTCCTAGGCACAAGCAGTACTCCCACCTCAGCCTCCAAATGCGCTGGGATTACAGGCATGAGCCTTGACTTAACATAATTTACTTTAAATTTTAAATATAGAAAATATCTCATTATTTTGATTATTAGAAAGTTACCTATATAGTTTTTACAACACAAGAGCCTAAAAAAAGAAATTACCTGTGTAAGTACTTAATTTCTTCGATATCATCATATCAGTGAATGTGTTCTTTTCAAAGCTATGTCTACCATACTCTCTTTATTGATGGAATCACTTACTTATGTGGCACAGACAATGCCTTGGATATTGTGGCACCATCGGCATTTCTTACAGAAGTAAGTCATTTTTTTAATCCTATTGCAAGAACTGTTTCAGCTACTGAAATTATGAGGTCTCTGTTTTATAGCTGATTAACCAAAAGGAGGCAGCTCATCTGCTGTCTCTAAAGCAGAGCTGCTCATAACCTTCAGGGATTTCTTACTCTTGGCCTTCATCCATCTCCTGCTGCTGTGGTTGGCCAGCTCTAAGGAAGGTCTACAAAGACCATCCCCTCAGATCTATTAGAACCTATCTTTAGATTCATCTTGTTTTTAAAATCAAGAAAGAAATTGGCCGGGTGCGGTGGCTCAAGCATGTAATCCCAGCACTTAGGGGGACCGAGGCAAGAGGACTGCCTGAGCCCGCAGGTTCTAGACCAGACTGGGCAACATGGCGAGACCTCATCTCTACAATAAATAAAAAAATTAGCCAGGCATGGTAACGCGCACCTGTAGTTCTGGCTACTTGGAAGGCTGAGGTGGAAGGATCGCCTGAGCCCCACAGGTCATCGCTAGGGTGGCTGTGAGTATGCTACTGCACTCTAGCTTGGGTGACAGAGTGATACTACAACTCAAAAAAAAAAAGAAATTAAGCTATACTGGTATTTAATATACTCCGTCAACAGCACATGTATTTAATCTACAAATAATTGTATACCTAATGAGGCAAGTGATCCAGAATTTTTGAAACCAGTATTCTAAAGACACTTGTGTTAGAGCATATGGATCAATTCCAAGAATTAACTGAAAAGGTATGGTTTTTTTTTAATCAAAACATACTCTATCTAGAGAATGTGTTAACTGAGAATTGCCAACAAATGTAGACAATGTGTATGGATGTTATGTAGAAACAGGAAATTGTATAAACCTCTTAAAGAATGATTAGCCTTCTGGGGCCAGCACCCACCATCCACACCAGCCTGTGGGGATCTCTGAGCAGGAGAATTCATGGGGGGCAGCCTTGGGACAGACTAGAGCTAAATCATCCTTCTGATGATTGTGTTATGGTCCAGATAATGCTTGTTTCTTGTTTTCAAAAGTAAGTGATGCTCATCTTTGATTTTACTTATAAAATTAAGTTAAAAAATATAAAATATAAATATTTTAATAAAAAATATTAATGGAAAAACCCATCAGCTGTAGTGTAGTTACTAATACAGTAGTTAAGCTCTAGTCCCATTCGTACATCACACATACATGTCATCTCAAGTGTATCGACTTACTTTATTACAACTCAAACTGTAACCATTTGTACAGTCCAGGATTATAAGGCCTAAATATTATAATACAAAAAAATCTTCTAATTATTAACTGTCAAGGCATAGTTATGCCTAGACAATTGCTAGAGTCCAGGTGACAAACCATTTAACTGAATATACCCTGAATTTTTTCTCTCTGCCATTATGACAAAATAACCCAATGTCACCACTGTTCCAAAACAAGATGGCACAAAATTGTAATCATATAATTTTTATCACTGCTTCTGAGAAATACAACATTAAATACAAGCAATTGTGAGAATTCTTTCTTGAAAATTTGCAAGAGCATCATGGCATTTTGCTAGTGCTGTTTTGTTATTATGAGTGAATTTTGAAGGTAGGGAAGGAGGGAAAATGGAAGCACTATTCAGAAAGTACCATGGATGCCCTTCTTTCCTAGTCTGCCAGAGGAAAGCATCTGCTCCCCCCACAGTGCTCAGGTCACCTAAGTAGTGACTTCAGTCAGGCAGCATGAGGGACTGATCTGTGCAGCCACAGGAGTAAGACAGGGGCAAACACAACTTCCAAAAGCACTGCATCTCACATGGAAAGGATGCCCTGCCATCCCAAAGCCTCAGGTTGCTACCAGACTTGGTTGCTTCAAATGAACACTTGCTCAGTATTTCTTCAATTGAGCTGGACTATGTAGGTTAAATATTTCCATTAATTTTTCCCAGGTTAGTGATACTTTTACAAGAAATACTTTGATGTCACAAGAACATTGTTCTCCTTCAAATGCGGTCGCTGCAGACTTTCAACAAGTGCTAGGACAGTGTATGGTATGTAACCTCAAGCTGTTCTCCTAAACGTTATCAGTGTTGCAACTGGCAAGCCAGTTGGCAATTATGAGTTAAGAGTTGTAAAAAGGGTTGAGAGATCATATCTATATGATAAGGAACGATATTCATGATATACTGGTAAGTTAAAAGCAAGATAATAGAGAAAGTATGTCTGGGATATTATTATTTATTTACCACTGTTATACGCAACCATTTAAGAAAGAGGAAATAACAAATAAATATATGTATTTTTTTAAAGGACTGGGAAAGAATAAACAAAAACATTTTAATGGTTAACTACATGGGATGGAGGAAGAAAAATAGTTGCAGTGACAGAAAGAGAAATAAGACCTCTATGAAAATTGTTTTGCAAGTTTGATTTTGGAACTATGTAAATGCTGTACACAATTATAAAATACGATGGAATTAAAATTGTTTAAAGTAGTCCCTATTAAGTGAAATAAGACCATCACAAAAGGACGATACTGCACAATCCCACTTACATGGAAGTTGTGCAGAGTAGACAGGGTCATAGAGACACTGACAGAAGGGTGGCTGTTGGGTGGGAAGAGGGTGATCAGAGTCTGACCCGCAGAGTTTTAGTTTGGGAAGATGAAGAGTTCTGCAGGTGGATGGTGGTGACAGTTGCACAGCAGTGTGAGTGTGCTTAATGCTGCTGAAAAGTGTATGTTATGTATATTTTATCATTGTGAAATTATATTCTAATTTTTAAACTAATCCTTAAAACTCAAAAGCAAAATGAAAAAAAAAACTATGTATTAAGTTAATGTCTTAAAAGACAGTGAAAATTTTACTTCAAGTTACTCCAAAACATAATAATTTGATTGCATACTCCTATGAGATTATACCCCAGTTTTTGAAAATCTAAAAACAACCCTTAAGGTATTTATTTTCAAGAGTCGCATTGTTAGCAATAATATTGATATTGCTATTCTGAATAGATATAGATATATTACCTCAAATAACTGTTAATACTGTTAAGAATCAAGATTTTCAGCAAGAAAAGTCACAAATATAAAATCAAAGAGGTATAGCCAGGTACAGTGGCTCATGCCTATAATCCCAGCATTTGGGAAGCCGAAGCAAGAAGATTGCCTGAGCCCAGGGGTTTGAGACCAGTCAGGGCAACTTGGTGAGACCTCATCTCTACAATAAATCAAAAAATTAGCCAGGCATGGTAGTCCACACCTGTAATTTCGGCTACTTGGAAGGCTGAGGCGGAAGGATCGCCTGAGCCCAGCCGGTCGATGCTGGGGTGGCCGTAAGCATGCCAGTGCACTCCAGCCTGGGCGACAGAGTGAGACTCCAATTCAAAGTAAAAATAAAAATATGTTTTTAAAATGTCCTAACTTAGACATGGGAAAAAAACCTAGAAACCATGACCAACAGGGAGCTACCTTGGTGTCTAGATTATAGTCTTTAAATACTACTTTTCATTAAAAGAAACCAGGCCAGATTCCAGATATGGATAGGAAGCATATAAGCCAGAAACATTTTTCATACTAAAAACAAGGATGCTGTCAAAGTCTGTGCTCATGTCAAAAGACTTGAAGAGCCAGTCTGAAGGGGCCGCCACTGACCAGTGATAGAATCATCTGAGCATCAAAAAGCATGCCAACTGCAACGGATTTTAACATATCACATATGCTAAACTCCACGAGTTCCTAGATACTACCAAAGAAGGAACCGTCTCTTGTCAGTCACTTTGACAGATATGAAGGATCTAGCTTACCTCTCTGAACACTGATGGATAAGAAAGAAGCATCAAACATTTATTCTAACTTTCCTACATAAACTGTACCTCAAAGGAACCAAATAGCTCACAGGGAAAAGTTTTTTCTTTATGGAAATATTCTGGCTAATAAATGATGAAGAGGTGATAAAATATCACCACTTTGCAATTCTTCATGAAATAATGGACCTGACAATCATCATCAATAACTGTTTAAAAAAAATTAGGTGGAAAGAGGATAAGGAGCTCCATAATGGATGAAACAGACTCAGATTCCTTGAACCCACTAATTTTTCCTAACCTCAAAATAAAAGCAACAGCAGGAACATGCTTCTTGATGTCACACATCAGGTATTCACACACCTGCAGGATTCCTACTAAAAACATCAGACCTGAGTCTGACCAACCCTTTAGCATTGACTGCAAGTTTACAGGAAATAGATCAGCATCCACATCAAATGATACTGCTGTGATGTAATCAACAAAATTCAGACATCTGTAAGACAGATCTGCAAGACAGATGACCTAATTTCTTCAACAGATAAGTTGCAAGGGGGAGAAAGTTAAGGAGAACCCATAGATTTTTAATCTCTTTTAGAGACCTGGACACAGTGGCTTACGCCTATACTACCACCTACTCAGGAGGCTAAGACAGGAGGATGACTTGAGGTTCGGTGCTCAAGATCAGCCTGTGCAGACTGCATCTCTAAAAATAAAAAAAAAAAAAAGAAAAGAAAAGAAAAGAAATTAGATAGTGAGACAATGTCTCTAAAAAATTTTTTAACTAGCCGGGCAAGGTGAGATGTGCCTCTAGTCCCAGCTACTCAGAGGCTGAGATGGGAGGATCACTGGAGCCCAGGAGTTTGAGGCTGCAGTGAGCTATAATTACACTACTACACTCCAGCCTGGGCAACAGAATGAGACCCTATCTCAAACCAAAATAAAAGACAGAGAGAGAGACATATCAACCAAGTGCAACGTGTGCACTTTGGATCCTGGTTCAATGAAATGACTATTTTTTAAAACTATGATTTGCTTGTGAAACGTTTTACACAAATCTGTGCACAGATATGATGATATTAAGTAACTATTTAATGTGATAATGATGTTATAGTTTTGTTTTTAAGAAAAGAATAAGGCTGTATCTTTCAGAGATACAAACTAAAGCATTTACAGATTAAAATGGAAAGAATGTATTATTTTATTTTATTTTGTTTATTTTATTTTTCAGAGTCTCACTGTGTCACCCAGGCTAGAGTGCAATGGCATGAGCACAGCTCAGCCTTCCAAGTAGCTGGGACTACAGGCACGTACCACCACACCCAGCTAATTTTTTGATTTATTGTAGAGCTATGTAGCCCAGACTGGTCTCAAATGCCTGTGCTCAGGTAGTCCTCTTGCTTCAGCCTTCCCAAGTGCTGGGATTACAGGTGTGAGCCACCACACCTGGCCCAATCACTTGCTTTTAAATAATCTATTTGGGGAAGGGACAGCAGTATAAATGCAACAAAACCTGCTGTGTGTTGGTAATTGCTGAAACCAGGTGGTAGATACATGGGACTATTACACTCTACCATTCACTCTACTTTCTACTCTTCACTTTTCTACTATTTACTCTACTTTTATATATGTTTGAACTTTTCCATAATAAAAATATTTTAGGCCAGGCATGGTGACTCACGCCTGTAATCCCAGCACTTTGGGAGGCAGAGGTGGGAGTGTTGCCCAACAGTTCAAGACCAGCCTAGGCAGCACAGTGAAGCCTCATTGCTACAAAAAAAAATTAATAACATTTAGCAGGGTGTGATGGCTCACATCTGTAGTCCCAGCTACTCGGGAAACTGATGGGAGGATTACTCAGGAGGTCAAGCCTCCAGTGAGTCATGATATTGCCACTGCACTTCAGCATTGGTGACAGAATGAGACCCTGACTCAAAAGACAGGTAGGTAGGTAGGTAGGTAGGTAGGTAGGTAGGTGGGTAGGTAAGCAAGCAGAGAGTGATAGCCCTTTAAAGTGACAAGAGCCACCTTATGCTAACCAACAACTGACCTGTGAGTGGCCCACCATGAAAGTGAACACCGGCCGGGCTTGGTGGCTCAGCCTGTAATCCCAGTACTTTGGGAGGCTGAGGCGAATGGATCGCCCGAGCTCGCAGATTCGAAACCAGCCTGGGCAACTTGGTGAGACCTCGTCTCTACAATAAATTAAAAAAATTAGCCAGGCATGATAGCACACACCTGTAGTTCCAGCTACTTGGAAGGCTGAGGCAGAAGGATCGCCAGAGCCCAGCAGGTCAACACTGAGGTGGTCATGAGTGTGCCACTGCACTCCAGCCTGGGTGACAGAGTGACACTCCAACTAAAAAAAGAAAGAAAGTGCACATCAACCAATCAGAACCGCCATGTTTCCATCACTCATGTGCATGACGGGAGCCCTGATACCTGACAAGAGCCCTAACCCTAACCGAAAGAAGGCCAGCTCACTATGAAAACTCCTCCTGCCTGATTGGCATACAGCCCCTGCATCGCACCCTGTCCCTGCCCACAGCATGCTCAGTATGCCTGTCCTTCTCAACGCTGGCTGACTTGATGAGCCTTTCACTGCCTGCGACACTGGCCAACAGGTCGCTATTCAAACACACACACACATATATGTATTTAGATATACTTGGACTAGTTTCCTATCTATATGTAACAAATTACCACAGACCTAGCAGGCTGAAATAACACCATCGATTATCTCATCATTTCTATGGACCAGGAGTCCAAGCAGGCTTACCTGGGGTCTCTGCTCCAGGTCTGAAAAGCTGACAGTCAGTGTGTCTGCCAGGCTGTTCTCATCAGAAAGCTCTGGAGAAGAGCCTGCTTCCAACCATCCAGATTGTTAGCAGAGCCACTTCCGGCAGCTCTAGGAGGGTGCAGCTCTTGGCTGGCTGTGGACTGGAGGCCACTGTCAGGCCCTGGAGACTGATGGCAGCTCCTTGCCATGTGGGCATCCTTAGCATGGCTGCTTGCTTCTTCAAGGCCAGCAGAGGAACCTCCCTCACTGCAGTCTACCAGCTTCATATAACATAACAATCACCAGAGTGACATCCCATCCCCTTGGCTTCTACTGGCTGGAAGCAGGCTATACTCAAGGACATGACTCATGGGGGAATCATCACAGAGTATGTCCACCATAGTGCCTGACAAAACAGCTAAGGACAGATGATTGCACCAGGCATGGTGATGCATGCCTGTAATCCCA